CAAGCTATAGTTTTACTGCATTATAAAAACGGTTTTTCTAATTTAAAATATTTTTCCTTTCTTTGTTTTTTGTCTGTTGTTTGAGAGTTCTGGTTGTTTGAGTTCTCTTTAACCGAGAGTCGACTATATACACATGGAGTATACCCAGAATACACTTAATAATATTTCATGTGGCTGATGAAATAGTTTACAGTACTGTTGCAATATGTTTATTAATATTCAGAGTCCTGTATCTCGTTTAAGATCTCGGTTCGTTATTGCATCAGGCAAACACACACAAAGAACTCGATCATTCCTCTCCAATTACAATACCATGCCTTCCAGGCTGCCTGTTGATTTACTGATTTATGGGATTTCCTGCAATACCCAGAAGTGGTTTTGCCAGTTCTCTTCTCCGAAATGTAGCCTACAGCAGCTGGGATTCGTTGACGCTCTCCCATCCGAGTCCTAGCCGGGGCCGACCCTGCTTAGCTTCCGAGATCAAACACGATCCGGTGCCTTTGGGAGTTTTATATGGCCTTTGCATGTATGTAGCACATTAAAAATAGGCATTTAAAAACCATAGGGCAGGAGTGGGCAAACTTCGGCCCTCCGGGTGTTTTGGACTTCAACTCCCACAATTCCTAACAGCCGGTAGGCTGTTAGGAATTGTGGGAGTTGAAGTCCAAAACACCTGGAGGGGCGAAGTCTGCCCATGCCTGCACTAGTGGGAAGAATATTCAGATATTTCAGCTTAATAGGAAAGTAAATAAAGAACAACACTCAGAAAACAAGGGAATTCCAGACAAGAAACAATGAGAGCCAGCTAACACTTCCCAACAAAGGATTCCCCCAGGCAGGAAGCAGAAGCATTCCCTCCTGACGTTTCGCCTGCATCTATGGCAGGCATCCTCAGAGGTTGAGAGGTCTCCTCATAGGTTGTCCTCAGAGGATGCCTGCCATAGATGTAGGTGAAACGTCAGGAGAGAATGCTTCTGAGGATGCCTGCCATAGATGCAGGCGAAACGTCAGGAGACAATGCTTCTGAGGATGCCTGCCACAGATGCAGGCAAAATGTCAGGAGAGACTGCTTCTGAGGATGCCTGCCATAGATGTAGTCGAAACGTCAAGAGACAATGCTTCTGAGGATGCCTGCCATAGATGTAGGCGAAACACCAGGAAAGAATGCTTCTGGGGATGCCTGCCATAGATGCAGGCGAAACGTCAGAAGAGAATGCTTCTGAGGATGCCTGCCATAGATGTAGGCAAAACGTCAGGAAAACATGCTTCTGAGGATGCCTGCCATAGATGTAGGCGAAACGTCAGGAGAGCATGCTTCTGAGGATGCCTGCCATATATGTAGGCGAAACGTCAGGAGAGCATGCTTCTGGGGATGCCTGCCATAGATGTAGGCAAAACGTCAGGAGAGAATGCTTCTGGAATATGGACTTACAGCCTGAAATACTCACAACAACGCAGTGATTCCAGACATGAAAGCCTTTGACAATATATTGAGCTGTCGTTATTAAAGTGATGTAAAACTGCATTAATTCTACAGCGGAGATGTCGCAACCCCAAGGCAACCTATGAAGCATTCTTTAATTAAAGCGCCATTCAGAGCTCTGCACATACTCAGAGGCACTCAGGTATGTTGTAATGGCTCCCAATCAGGTCCAACTAATCACCTCCCAACAAAGGGTTCCCCCCAGGCTGGAAGCAGCCAGGCTTTGAAGCTGCAAGGCCATTCAATGCTAACCAAACTGGTCAATTGCAACAAACCAACAAGAGTTTTTTCTCCCACCCTGGACATTCCACAGAAGCCCCACTTGCCTAGTTTCCAACAGACCTCATAACTGGGTTGTTGTAGGTTTTTCGGGCTATGTGGCCATGTTCTAGAAGCATTCTCTCCTGACGTTTCACCCACATCTATGGCAGGTATCCTCAGAAGTTGTGATGCAGGTGAAAAGTCAGGAAAAAATGCCTCTAGAACATGGCCATATAGTCTGAAAAACCCCAATCTAGTGATTCAAGCCACAACAGCCTTCAACAAGACCTCACATCCTTTGAGGATGTCTGCCACAGATGTGGGCGAAACATCAGGAGAGAATGCTGTTGGAACATGGTCAGACTGACCGGAAAACTCACAGCAACCCATTTAAAGAGACTCTAATTTAAAACAGAACTAAGTATTCTCATTGATTAAAATCACATCAAACGGATACAGAGGATGCCRGACATAGATGTGGGTGAAACGTCAGGAGAGAATGCTGCTGGAACATGGCCATACAGCCTGGGAAAGTCACAGCYACCTAGTGATTCCGGCATTTGACAAGACATAGGACAAGTTTGCACGCAAGGCTGATAACTATCAGTCCAATGAAATAAACCGTGACGCTTTCCCATCCCTTGCTAAGTCTTATGCAATCGACAACTTTTACTCTGGAATTGCATCAGKGCTTCCACTTAAATATGCTTAYGGTTGAGAAACTGCAAGTCGCTTCTGGTGTGAGAGAATTGCCCGTCTGCAAGGACGTTGCCCAGGGGATGCCCGGATGTTTTGATGTTTTACCATCCTTGTGGGAGGCTTCTCTCCTGTCCCTGCACAGGGAGCTGGCGCTGACAGACGGAGCTCATCTGCGCTCTCCGCAGATTCGAACCTCTGACCTGTCAGTCTTCAGTCCTGTTGGCACAAGTATTTAACTCATTGCGCCAATAAATGAATGCTGGTGCGTCCTTCACAAACTGCAAATCCCAAGACTTCATCGCCTTGAGTAATTAAAGTGGGATGGAATTGAATTAATTCTGCAGCGTAGTTGCACCCATGGCCTATTCTCCAGTGGGGTAAATAAGCATTAACATTGCATTCCATGCTGCGCTCCATTTGGGTGCAAGCGGCGACATTCTTTCCGCCTGTGTCCATCCCACCCATGTGCCTGCCAACTGGAAAATAACACAGCGGGCATCTGATGCAGGCTCTGGTCCATGAGCGCTGATCCAGCATTGAACCTGCCAGGCTGGGAAGGGCCCTCTCTGCAAAACACTCTCCAGGCAGGAGAGGAGAGAAACAAAGGGGAACCAGGTCTGCACTCACCATGGAATGCGGTTCAAGGCTGGCTTCAAGCAACAATGCTTGTGGGCTGAATGCTCTGAAGCACTCAGCCCACAAGTAGAAACATTAACACACTACCCTGCACTCTGCACATGCTTAGAGGCACTCAGCTCACAAATTTTAACATTATGACACCACTCTGCACATGCTCAGAAGCGCTCAGCCCACAAGCGTCAACATTAAGACACCACCTTGCACTCTGCACATGCTCAGAGGCACTCTGCCCACAAGCACCAACATTAAGACGCCACCCTGCATTCTGCACATGCTCAGAAGCACTCTGCCCACAAGCACCAACATTAAGACGCCACCCTGCATTCTGCACATGCTCAGAGGCACTCGTCCACAAGTATCAACATTAAGATGCCACTCTGCACATGCTCAGAGGTACTCAGCCCACAAGCATCAACATTAAGATGGCACTCTGCACATGTTCAGAGGCACTCAGCTCAAAAACATCAACATTAAGCCACTCTGCACATGCTCAGAGGCACTCAGCCCACAAGCACTCTGCACATACTCAGAGGCACTCAGCTCTCAAGCATCAACATTAAGATGCCACCCAGCACTCTGCACACTCTCAAAGGCACTCAGCACACAAGCATCAACATTAAGACGTCAGCCATCACTCTGCACATGCTCAGAGGCGCTCAGCCCACAAGCATCAACATTAAGACACCACTCTGCACATGCTCAGAAGCACTCAGCCAACAAGTATCAACATTAAGACACCACTCTGCACATGCTCAGAGGCACTCGGCCCACAAGTATCAACATTAAGACGCCACGCTGCGCTCTGCACATGCTCAAAGGCACTCAGCCCACAAGCATCAACATTAAGACYTCAGTCATCACTCTGCACATGCTCAGAGGCACTCAGCCCACAAGTATAAACATTAAGACACCACTCTGCACATGCTCAGAAGCACTCAGCCAACAAGTACCAACATTAAGACYCCACTCTGCACATGCTCAGAAGCACTCAGCCAACAAGTACCAACATTAAGACGCCACCCTGCATTCTGCACATGCTCAYAYGCACTCAGCCKACYAGRARCAACATTAAGACGCCACCRTGCARTCTGCACATGRTCAYAGGCACTCAGCCCACYAGRATKAACATTAAGACGCCACCRWGCACTCTGCACATGRTCAGAGGCACTCAGCCCACAAGTATAAACATTAAGACGCCACCCAGCACTCTGCACATGCTCAGAGGCACTCAGCCCACAAGCACTCTGCACATACTCAGAGGCACTCGGCCCACAAGTATCAACATTAAGACGCCACGCTGCGCTCTGCACATACTCAGAGGCACTCGGCCCACAAGCATCAACATTAAGACGCTACCCAGCACTCTACACATACTCAGAGGCACTCAGCCCACAAACGTCAACATTAAGATGTCGCCCTGCACTCTGCACATGCTCAGAGTTACTCAGCACACAAGTATCAACATTAAGACACCACCCAGCACTCTACACATACTCAGAGGCACTCAAGCATCAACATTAAGACTCCAGACAGCACTCTGCACACTCTCAGAGGCACTCAGCTCACAAGCACCAACATTAAGACGCCACCCAGCACTCTGCACATGCTCAGAGGCACTCAGCCCACAAGCGTGTTGACACTCAGCATTAAGATGCTGAGTGTCAACATTAATAATGTTGACACTCAGCTCACAAACGTCAACATTAAGACTCCACTCTGCACACGCTCAGAGGCACTCAGCCTACAAGCATCAACATTAAGACGCCACCCTGCACTCTGCACATGCTCAGAGGCACTCAGACTGCAATTTTAAGACAGAACTAAGTATTCCCGTGTCTTAAAATCACATCCAAGGGCTAAGGAAACAACTGCGGGAATGTCAACACGAGAAAGGCAGCGCCCAGGTGTCGCGGCTCACCTCCGGGCGTGGTGCCGAAGAGGGTCCCCCCGGGGGTGGTGCTGTAGTCTCCGGGGGGCAGGGTCACCCCTTCGGGCAAGTGGAGCCTCTTGGCCGGGATCAAGGCCGGCGGAGAGCGGAAATAGGTGGCTGCGGAGCTCATGGCGGACTGCCTGCGCGCGTGTGTCTTCTCCGGCGGGGAAACTCCACTGGCGGGCGCGCTCTCTTCCCGGCACGCCCACCACCGAAGCCCCGCCCCCGTCTACCAAGACACGCCCCTCCGCTCTCCCAGCCCCGCCTCCGTTTTAGCCCTGCATGTTTTTTTTCTGGACTTCAATTCCCAGGATTCCCTTCCATTGTCCCAGTCAGCGGAGACTTCTGGGAGTTGAAGTCCCAAAGTCAAAAAGTGGCTTTGCTCTATTCCTTTGCCACCATATTAACTTCTATGGAAATGTACAGTTTTGTGGGATACTAAGGCTCCTTCTACACTAACATATAAAATCCGGATTATCTGTTTAGAACTGGATTATATGATAGTATAGAATCATAGAATCTTAGAGTTGGAAGAGACCTCATGGGCCATCCAGTCCAACCCCATTCTGCCAAGAAGCAGGAGTATTGCATTCAGATCACCCCTGACAGATGGCCATCCAGCCCCTGTTTAAAAGCTTCCAAAGAAGGAGCCTCTGTATAGACAGAGGCCTCTTCTGCAATGCCATATAAAATCCAGATTATCTGCTTTGAAGCGGATTATATGTAGACTCAGCCTCCTTCTACACCACCATATACAATCCAGATTATCTGCTTTGAACTGGATTATATGACAGTGTAGACTGAGCCACTCTCTACACAGCCATACAAAATCCAGATTATCTACTTTGAGCTGGATTATATGGCAGTGTAGACTGAGGCCCCCTTTACACCATATAAAATCCGGATTATTTTATTTGAACTGGATTATATGGCAGTGTAGACTGTGGCCCCTTTTACATCAACATATAAAATCCGGATTATCTGATTTGAACTGGATTATATGGCAGTGTAGACTGAGCCCCCTTCTACACCGCCATGCAAAATCCAGATTATCTGCTTTGAGCTGGATTATATGGCAGTGTAGACTGAGGCCCCCTTTACACCAACATATAAAATCCGGATTATCTGATTTGAATTGGATTATATGGCAGTGTAGACTGAGCCTCCTTCTACACCCCCATATAAAATCCGGATTATCTGATTTGAACTGGATTATATGGCAGTGTAGACTGAGGCCCCTTTTACACCGCCATATAAAATCCGGATTATCTGATTTGAACTGGATTATATGGCAGTGTAGACTGAGGCCCCTTTTACACCGCCATATAAAATCCAGATTATCTGCTTTGAACTGGATTATATGGCAGTGTAGACTGAGGCCCCCTTTACACCAACATATAAAATCCGGATTATCTGATTTGAACTGGATTATATGGCAGTGTAGACTGTGGCCCCTTTTACATCAACATATAAAATCCGGATTATCTGATTTGAACTGGATTATATGGCAGTGTAGACTGAGGCCCCTTTTACACCGCCATATAAAATCCGGATTATCTGATTTGAACTGGATTATATGGCAGTGTAGACTGAGGCCCCTTTTACACCAGCATATAAAATCCGTATTATCTGATTTGAACTGGATTATATGGCAGTGTAGACTGTGGCCCCTTTTACATCAACATATAAAATCCGGATTATCTGATTTGAACTGGATTATATGGCAGTGTAGACTGAGCCCCCTTCTACACCGCCATGCAAAATCCAGATTATCTGCTTTGAGCTGGATTATATGGCAGTGTAGACTGAGGCCCCCTTTACACCAACATATAAAATCCGGATTATCTGATTTGAACTGGATTATATGGCAGTGTAGACTGTGGCCCCTTTTACATCAACATATAAAATCCGGATTATCTGATTTGAACTGGATTATATGGCAGTGTAGACTGAGCCCCCTTCTACACCGCCATGCAAAATCCAGATTATCTGCTTTGAGCTGGATTATATGGCAGTGTAGACTGAGGCCCCCTTTACACCAACATATAAAATCCGGATTATCTGATTTGAACTGGATTATATGGCAGTGTAGACTGTGGCCCCTTTTACATCAACATATAAAATCCGTATTATCTGATTTGAACTGGATTATATGGCAGTGTAGACTGAGGCCCCTTTTACACCGCCATATAAAATCCGGATTATCTGATTTGAACTGGATTATATGGCAGTGTAGACTGAGGCCCCTTTTACACCGCCATATAAAATCCAGATTATCTGCTTTGAACTGGATTATATGGCAGTGTAGACTGAGGCCCCCTTTACACCAGCATATAAAATCCGTATTATCTGATTTGAACTGGATTATATGGCAGTGTAGACTGTGGCCCCTTTTACATCAACATATAAAATCCGGATTATCTGATTTGAACTGGATTATATGGCAGTGTAGACTGAGGCCCCTTTTACACCGCCATATAAAATCCGGATTATCTGATTTGAACTGGATTATATGGCAGTGTAGACTGAGGTCCCTTTTACACCAGCATATAAAATCCGGATTATCTGATTTGAACTGGATTATATGGCAGTGTAGACTGTGGCCCCTTCTACACCGCCATGCAAAATCCAGATTATCTGCTTTGAGCTGGATTATATGGCAGTGTAGACTGAGGCCCCCTTTACACCAACATATAAAATCCGGATTATCTGATTTGAACTGGATTATATGGCAGTGTAGACTGTGGCCCCTTTTACATCAACATATAAAATCCGTATTATCTGATTTGAACTGGATTATATGGCAGTGTAGACTGAGGCCCCTTTTACACCGCCATATAAAATCCGGATTATCTGATTTGAACTGGATTATATGGCAGTGTAGACTGAGGCCCCTTTTACACCGCCATATAAAATCCAGATTATCTGCTTTGAACTGGATTATATGGCAGTGTAGACTGAGGCCCCCTTTACACCAGCATATAAAATCCGTATTATCTGATTTGAACTGGATTATATGGCAGTGTAGACTGTGGCCCCTTTTACATCAACATATAAAATCCGGATTATCTGATTTGAACTGGATTATATGGCAGTGTAGACTGAGGTCCCTTTTACACCAGCATATAAAATCCGGATTATCTGATTTGAACTGGATTATATGGAAGTGTAGACTGAGGCCCCCTTTACACCAGCATATAAAATCCGGATTATCTGATTTGAACTGGATTATATGGCAGTGTAGACTGTGGCCCCTTTTACATCAACATATAAAATCCGGATTATCTGATTTGAACTGGATTATATGGAAGTGTAGACTGAGGCCCCCTTTACACCAGCATATAAAATCCGGATTATCTGATTTGAACTGGATTATATGGCAGTGTAGACTGTGGCCCCTTTTACATCAACATATAAAATCCGTATTATCTGATTTGAACTGGATTATATGGCAGTGTAGACTGAGGCCCCTTTTACACCGCCATATAAAATCCGGATTATCTGATTTGAACTGGATTATATGGCAGTGTAGACTGAGGCCCCTTTTACACCGCCATATAAAATCCAGATTATCTGCTTTGAACTGGATTATATGGCAGTGTAGACTGAGGCCCCCTTTACACCAACATATAAAATCCGGATTATCTGATTTGAACTGGATTATATGGCAGTGTAGACTGTGGCCCCTTTTACATCAACACATATAAAATCCGGATTATCTGATTTGAACTGGATTATATGGCAGTGTAGACTGAGGCCCCTTTTACACCGCCATATAAAATCCGGATTATCTGATTTGAACTGGATTATATGGCAGTGTAGACTGAGGCCCCTTTTACATCAACATATAAAATCCGGATTATCTGATTTGAACTGGATTATATGGCAGTGTAGACTGAGGCCCCTTTTACACCGCCATATAAAATCCAGATTATCTGCTTTGAACTGGATTATATGGCAGTGTAGACTGAGGCCCCCTTTACACCAGCATATAAAATCCGTATTATCTGATTTGAACTGGATTATATGGCAGTGTAGACTGTGGCCCCTTTTACATCAACATATAAAATCCGGATTATCTGATTTGAACTGGATTATATGGCAGTGTAGACTGAGGCCCCTTTTACACCGCCATATAAAATCCGGATTATCTGATTTGAACTGGATTATATGGCAGTGTAGACTGAGGTCCCTTTTACACCAGCATATAAAATCCGGATTATCTGATTTGAACTGGATTATATGGCAGTGTAGACTGAGGTCCCTTTTACACCAGCATATAAAATCCGGATTATCTGATTTGAACTGGATTATATGGCAGTGTAGACTGAGGCCCCCTTTACACCAACATATAAAATCCGGATTATCTGATTTGAACTGGATTATATGGCAGTGTAGACTGTGGCCCCTTTTACATCAACATATAAAATCCGTATTATCTGATTTGAACTGGATTATATGGCAGTGTAGACTGAGGCCCCTTTTACACCGCCATATAAAATCCGGATTATCTGATTTGAACTGGATTATATGGCAGTGTAGACTGAGGCCCCTTTTACACCGCCATATAAAATCCAGATTATCTGCTTTGAACTGGATTATATGGCAGTGTAGACTGAGGCCCCCTTTACACCAACATATAAAATCCGGATTATCTGATTTGAACTGGATTATATGGCAGTGTAGACTGTGGCCCCTTTTACATCAACATATAAAATCCGGATTATCTGATTTGAACTGGATTATATGGCAGTGTAGACTGAGGCCCCTTTTACACCGCCATATAAAATCCGGATTATCTGATTTGAACTGGATTATATGGCAGTGTAGACTGAGACCCCTTTTACATCAACATATAAAATCCGGATTATCTGATTTGAACTGGATTATATGGCAGTGTAGACTGAGGCCCCTTTTACACCAGCATATAAAATCCGTATTATCTGATTTGAACTGGATTATATGGCAGTGTAGACTGTGGCCCCTTTTACATCAACATATAAAATCCGGATTATCTGATTTGAACTGGATTATATGGCAGTGTAGACTGAGCCCCCTTCTACACCGCCATGCAAAATCCAGATTATCTGCTTTGAGCTGGATTATATGGCAGTGTAGACTGAGGCCCCCTTTACACCAACATATAAAATCCGGATTATCTGATTTGAACTGGATTATATGGCAGTGTAGACT